CTTAGATTGGTCAATATGCGGTCAACTTAACTATGCAAAATAAGTAAGCAGATAATTATGTGGCTGAACTAAAGAATGCATCTAGATTTTTATAAACCAAGAAAAGTCAACAATTTTTGTACTAATATATTTTACTGAACTGATTCTGGTTGCCCTCAGGCTGTGATGATCCAAGGATTAATTGGTTAAGGTTAGAAACAGATCCCAACAATTATATAACAGAAAAGATAATGAGTTTGGAATCAGAGGAGATTCCCCTAGAGAGAAGGAGGCAATTTAGACCAGTTCACCTCTCCCACTGCAGACCTCCAACTCTCCATCATTAGAGACATGCGTTCAGATACATCTGAACCCAAAATACAGATAAGGTATTTTTCAGATATAGTCTGGTCTCCAGATGGTACCTGGGATTTTCTGAGATACAGGTAAATGGGTCCCAAAAAACCCTGGAAATGTTCAAGATTAATCGGGAGTATCGGGAGCCAGCATTGGAAAGCTCCCAGGACTGGGGTGGGTTTTTTTTAAAAAACTTTTTTTTATTCCAGAGTGTCTGTGTCTTCCTGGGTTTGATATTGGCTTAACAGGTTAATTTGTCTTGGGTTTTATTTTTGTTTCATTTTTGCCATCAAGACACACCTTTTTCAGGGGCCCATAGATGGGATCTCTTGGACTAATTCACTTGGGATTGGAAGGTTATTTAAAGGACAGGCACCAGAAGCTCCACTGCAATTTTGGTGCCAGTAGCTTTAAAAACAGTCCACCCAACTTCCCAGAAAGAGTTCCCAAAGGGAATAATGTAGCAAAAAACATTGGAATTCCCCCCCCCCCAAAAAAAGCCCCGGATGTGAATACCAAACCAGTACCAATATACCAATATTTTTCAGCTGCCTGATATCTGGATCTGATTTTTGTTGTTATTGCTGTTGAGCTGCACATCCCCGTCCATCGTACTATTCCTATAGGTCCCCTGTTCCCTTCAATCAATAGTTCAGGGGGCATTTCGGGTTGCAATGGGAGTGGGGAAGTGAGGAGTCGTACAACAGTGATGGAAATCCCCTCAGTCCATGGAAATCCTCCAGTGATTCCTTCACGTGGACTGAAGGTCAACAGTAGCAGTCCTTTGATAAAGGACAACATTATTCTTCTCAAGATAGCTATATTTTTGCTGTTGCAGGAACTGAAAAGACAGATGTTATTTGCACATTGCAGGGGGAAAGGGCAGGGAAACAGCTGCAGTGAAGAGAAAAATGGGAACGTGTAAAGAAGTTTGATTCATTTTGATCTTAAGACATTCTTTGTCGTGTAAGGGGATTTTCTGTTCCCCATAGCTCTTCTCACAAAGACTACACCCACTTGCAAGTATTTAAATGATGCAAGCATGTACGTCATACGTCTGTTCAGCCAATTATTAAAGGTAAGATTTTAGTTAGACATTGCAAGTTATAATGGAAATCTCCACCTCAGTGGAACATTACAGCCTATAAAAGTTTTTAACAGTCTGATCCACAGACCAGTCAAACCAACTGGAACAAAGTAAGGGTCACTTAATATGGTATAAAACTCCTACGCAAAAATTACTTTCAGCGTATGTTTTGAATTGTGTAAATGCAGTGAAACACGTTTATGAAATTGCACGCTATTCTTTATATGGCAGTTTTGAAAAGGGTGAAGTGGCCTAATTTTAAGTATTCTGGGTGAAGTACTAACCTGTTTATACCAACTGAGTTCCCAAAGGGAATAATGTAGCAAAAAACATTGGAATTCCCCCCCCCCCAAAAAAAGCCCCGGATGTGAATACCAAACCAATTCCAAACTACCAATATTTTTCAGCTGCCTGATATCTGGATCTGATTTTTGTTGTTGTCGTTGAGGTGCACATCCGCATCCATCATACTATTCCTATAGGTCCCCTGTTCCCTTCAATCAATAGTTCAGGGGGCATTTCAGGTTGCAATGGGAGTGGGGAAGTGAGGAGTCATACAACAGTGATGGAAATCCCCTCAGTCCATGGAAATCCTCCAGTGATTCCTACACGAGGACTGAAGGTCAACAGTAGCAGTCCTTTGATAAAGGACAACATTATTCTTCTCAAGATAGCTATATTTTTGTTGTTGCAGGAACTGAAAAGACAGATGTTATTTGCACATTGCAGGGGGAAAGGGCAGGGAAACAGCTGCAGTGAAGAGAAAAATGGGAACGTGTAAAGAAGTTTGATTCATTTTGATCTTAAGACATTCTTTGTCGTGTAAGGGGATTTTCTGTTCCCCATAGCTCTTCTCACAAAGACTACACCCACTTGCAAGTATTTAAATGATGCAAGCATGTACGTCATACGTCTGTTCAGCCAATTATTAAAGGTAAGATTTTAGTTAGACATTGCAAGTTATAATGGAAATCTCCACCTCAGTGGAACATTACAGCCTATAAAAGTTTTTAACAGTCTGATCCACAGACCAGTCAAACCAACTGGAACAAAGTAAGGGTCACTTAATATGGTATAAAACTCCTACGCAAAAATTACTTTCAGCGTATGTTTTGAATTGTGTAAATGCAGTGAAACACGTTTATGAAATTGCACGCTATTCTTTATATGGCAGTTTTGAAAAGGGTGAAGTGGCCTAATTTTAAGTATTCTGGGTGAAGTACTAACCTGTTTATACCAACTGACCAGAAGACAAAAACAGCCCAGTTAATGGGCAAAGATCAATTTCGGGAGATGAAGCTTTCCACATCACAGAAGAATTCATTAGTGTTTGCTCAGGAAGCTGTTGTTAAAGACACAACTACAATGGAAAGCTGAAAATCTAACAAACCGATGCAGTGAAGAGTGACTTACAGTGCAATGCTAAGCCGATGTACACCCTTCTAAATCTATTGGCTTCAATGGATTTAGAAGGGTATAACTCTGCTTAGGACTGCACTGTTAGACATATTTATTTTATTTACTTCATTTATACCCTGCTTTTCTTCCTCATGGGGTCACAAAACAGCAAATATATTTTTTCCTTTCATCCATTTTATCCACACACAACAACACAGTGAGGTAGGTTAGGCTGAGAGTGTTTGGGAAATACCTGGAGATTTGGGGGGTGGAGTCTGCGGAGGGCAGGGCTTGAGGCATAACACCAGAGTCCAACTTTCAAAATGGCCATTTTCTCCAGGTGAACTGATTTCTGCTGCATGGAGATCAGTTGTAATAGCAGGAGGGCTTCAGCATCACCCCAGCAAGCTTCAATGGCAGAGTGGGGATTTGAACGGATTTGAACCTGGGTCCCCCAGATCCTAATACGACACTCTAATCACACTGGTTGTCCATGATGGAGAGGCCCTTTTCTTGCTAAAGCAACTATCCCATTACCAGTTTCCTGTGCCGTTGCTATTAGGAGTGGTATAAAGCACACAAAACTTTGCCTGCCCCGCCTTGTTCCCCCATTAGAATCATTCATACTAACCTGAGATGGGCACCCAGGAAGTTTGAACAAAGCAATGGAGACCCAGCACTGCTCAAAGGAGCTCTAACAGAAGCCAGAAAGGTGAGAGGAAACCACCACTGGCATTTAGAGTGACCAAAAAGAGAGCTAGGAGCAGGGCAGGAGAGAAATGACAGCTGGGGGGAGGGGGGGAGATAACATCAGTAAGAAGGAAAGGGTTAACTTTTTTTACTTTATTAGATGGATTTAACAGTAGAAGAAGATATGTTAGGAGTTCATTAGCCTGTTTAGTTATATTCTTCCAGGTGAGTAGCTGGGTTGGTCTGAAGCAGCAGAACAAAGCTTGAGTCCTTTAAGACCAACAAAGTTTTGTTCAAGGTATAAACTTCCATGTGCAAGCACACTTCTTCAGACAATGTTACCTTAAATGCTATGATATACTATGGAAAAATGTCATCCGCCATGTATCTGCCTGTGATCTACTTAAAGACTCTGTGAGAACCCTGAACCTTGACACAAGCAAGAGCATTGTCACTTCTTTCCCAAGAAAGGAAACTTCTAGATTACAAAGGTGGCCCTCACATGAGGTTGCCAGCTCTGGGTTGAGAAATACCAGGACATTTGTGGGCTGGAGCCTGGAAAGAGCAGGGTTTAGGGGAAAAGGGACCTCAGCATGGTACAATGCTACAGAGTTCACCCTCCAAAGCAGCTGTTTCCTCCAAGGGAACTGATCTCCGTTAGCTGGAGACCAGTTGTAAAAGTAGGAGGCCCCATCTGGAGGTTCGCAACCCTACCCTCACACTATTTCCCTCAAAGTACTTCTGGCATGTTCTCAGTACCAAAAAATCAGGCATACTAACTTGTTTTCCCTAGTGGAATGTCTGTGCTTTAAACAGATGGATGATAGAGAGAAGTTTACAAGACAAAGCACTCTCCATCACAAACCGTACAATCATATGTAAAGGGACTCCCATCTAAGCCAACTGAAATCAGTGGCATAGGGATACTTCGTAAATCTCCAGCTGCACTGTACCTGTTCAATTCCAGCCTGTTGTGGAGTCTTTATAGGTGCATGAGCACCCTTAGTTAGGATTTAGTTGGGTAGCAACTCTAATATGTTTTACATTCAGTTAGAAATTGCTTTGTAAGTAATTTGAGGATTACATTTCCAATCATCAAGTCAATAAATATCCCCACATGTGATGCCTTACCTTTGCGGAATGCATACGTTATGGCTAGGGTCCAGCATATCCATAAAATATTTTTTAACATCTTGACCTACAAATAATGAAAACACAAAATAAATCAAAGGTACTCTAACATGATCTTATTAAGGATCATAATTGTTAATACTTGTTCCAGTGATTATGTAGATTTATAAAATTATGGGCCATCTCATTGACCTCACTCTAGTTCTTCTGCATTGACTCAGTAATTGGGATTCCAGTCCTAATCATGGTTTAGGCATCAATGCTACTGCCTGGATCTTGTTCTTGAGCTCATTCTGAGAGCTCCTTTGCAGTCTTAACATGTCCTGATCTTAGAGCAACAGTTCCCCAATCAATCTTCCAGTTGCCCAACAGCACACCACACTAATCATTCTGAAACAAGTCACCACATTTCTTTGCATTATTTTACTGCAAAGTAACTCCTAAAGGAAACGGTAGTGAAAGCATTGCCATGCCATCATACAATTCTATCAGAAGGAATTTACCCCTGCTGTTGATTTGGTTTCTGTTTCTTAAATGCATGTCTGTAGGGGAGGCGGGGTTGCCTATGACTCAAACGACAAAACATAAACCATATATGGAAGCTGAGAACTTTATGTTAACAGCTGTCACTGCAATCTCTTCTCAGGTACTCAGTGTAACTAGCTGTCTTGCAGTACTGAAAAGCAGCATGCGTAGCCACTGGATATCATAAGAATGTCTTGAATCCAGCCCATAGTTGTGAATGCTTGGGTCGCATTAACCAACGTGAACTGTGAAATAAATGCAGGTAACTGGGCTGGACTGCAGCCTCTCTTGATATACATTTCAGTAGGAATCTTGATTTTTCTTGAATTAAAGTCTCTTTACTTCCAACAACATCAGCATCCTAAAATAACTGTTTGATGACTTGTGGAATAGGGTTGCCAATCTCCAGGTGGAGTCTCAAGATCTCCAGACTACCGTGATCAGTTCTCCTGGAGAAAATGGCTGCTTTGGAGGGTGGACTCTATATGGCATTAGACACCTCCTCAAACCCAAGCTCAACCTCCAAATCTCCAGGAATTTTCCAGTTTAGAATTGGCAACCCAACCTGTGGAGCATTGAAAGGTAAACACATTAGATAGATTAGGGCTAAGTAAAACAGTAAGACCAATTCCGCAAAAGCAGTTGTTGTGCCCTCGGTCTCCCATTTCCCCTGGCTGTGCTGCTTAATTTTCCACTATTTGCTGCGCAGCCACATTTTGACCTGCATCTCCCCCCCTCCCCGATTTCCCATGCATCTTCTTGATCCTTAGGATCAAGAAGACACAGGGGAAATTGGGGGGAGGTGCGAGTCAAAATGCGGCCACACAGCATACAGTGGGAAATTGAGCAGCACAGTCAGGGTAAATGGGAGATCAGGGGCGGAACGACTGCTTTTGCGGACTCACTGTAAGAGTCAAAATCTGTTTCTTGTTTTGCAGAAGTATATACAGACAAGAAGGGGGACCCGCGATACTCGCGGGGGGGAGGAGCTCCACATGGAGGAGGAGGAAGGAGCCGCAGGTAAGCCTTCTCCCCCCCTGGAGTCAACGGCGAGGCCCATGTGGCTCCCACTGGATCTGCCAAGCCTTCTCCCCCCCAGCACTAATGGCGAGGCCTGTGTGGCTCTCAGCCGGCGGGCCCGCTAATCCTTCTTCCCTGCCCCCCGGCACCAATGGCGAGGCCTGCACAGCTTCCAGCCGTCCAGCCCACCAAGCTTTCTCCCTTCCCCCATGGCGAGGCTTGAGCGGCTGGCTGGCCAGCCCACCAAGCCTTCCCCCCCCCCCCCCGGCACCAATGGCGAGACCCACGCGGCTCCCAGATGTCGGGCCCACCAAGCTTTCTTCCTCCCTCCTGCAGTGGCAGCAGCGGCAAGGCCTGAGCGGCCGGCCTGCCAAGCCTTCTCCAGCCCCCCCAGTGGTGGCTGCAGTGGCGGCGAGGCATTTCTCAGAGCATTCTCTGCACATGCATAGGGAATGCTCTTTTTCTTTAGGGGGGATTTAAGTATTCCCCCTATAGTTTTTTATAGATTTCAGATTTTTCTGCACATCCGGGTTGCCCCAAATGTGCAGGAAAAACTCTTTGCCCCCTAGGTGCCCCCGATGTGTGGATTTAGATATCCACACCGCAGGGGGCACCTTGGCTATTAGTATATAGCACTTTTATTTCCAGAGATATAGGGGAGCTTCCAATACATTGTATCTTTATGCATATGAGTCTCAGTAAGAAAAATGGACTACAAATAAATATATAATTAAATGTACCATTCAAAAACTGTAATTACATCCTGACCTGGATGGCCCAGGCCAGCTCAATCTCATCAGATCTCTGAAGCTCAGCAGGGTCAGCCCTGGTCAGTATTTGGACAGGAAACCACCAAAGAAGTCTGGGGGCACAATCCAGAGGCAGACAATGGCAAACGGCCTCTGAACCTCTCTTGCCTTGAAAACCCTATGGGGTTGCCATAAATCAGTTGTGACCTGATGGCACTTGCCACTACCACTTATGTATGTTTTCTCTAATGTCACTCAGCTCTGACTGACTCAAGGAAGTATGCATAAATTTGTAGCCTACAGAACAATCCTAAGGAAGTTTACTTAGAAGTAAATCCCATTGAGCTCTGTTTGATTTACTCCCTTGTAAGTGTACTCAGGAGAGCAGCCACCACCTTGAGTTTGCTTGTTTCAAATGAATATCTGGATTATTGCATTGCGTATGGCTATAGAGAAAAAAATATTGAGAGGATTACTGAAAATGAGTTTAGCATAAAGGAATTCTATTACACATCAAATGAGTCTGTCCCAAACTCCACAGAATCATAGACTGTCTGGGATGCATTTTTTCCTGGTAATCTTTTTTTTTTTAAGGCACAGACTGGGCCTTTTTAAATACAATTGCCTTGAAAATTAGAACTGTGTCACACAGTTAAAGGGACCTGGAAGATTGCTGGGTATATTCCAAAAGTGCTATCCTCATTTATTCAGATTGGTGGAAACTTAGTCATAAATTCAAGGAGTTGCCAGAACGGGAACCTACTGAGCTGTTAAACTGGTATTAAAATAAGCCGAGACACATACTGCTATACTGAACCATCACATGCAAAACAAGATTTATAAATCTCAAAATAGCTGTGGCTTTAAGCTCTAAGAAAAGCTTAACTATATCAAAAAGTCCTATCAATAAACCAAATATGAGGACTGGTTTTGAAGTCAATTATAGTACACTTCTTTTATACCATTCTCCCTTGTTAGAGGTTTGAATATCATTTACCATTCAGGGGTACAATGGTCAGTATTTCTTTACCACCTCCTTCCATTAATTGTCAGCTGCTGAAAGTCTCAAACTACAGTCTCTGGATAAAAGGCTCCAGGAAATCCTAGCACTTTCACTTGGAGGCAGCAAGCCTAGGCTAGCCAACTTCTTCTCTCTGGCAGAACTCCTTCACTGACTGAAATATACTGGGCTTGAGACGCATATAGTGATCAGCTCATAGTTTATGTGAATCAACTCAAACTAAGGACAACTGCAGCAAGGCCAGAGCCCTTCTTACAAGCCCATCAAACAGCACACCACAAACACATACCCACTCCCAACAATAGGTTATTTACACACTAATTGCATCCCGATAGGTGGCCAACAGGATCCTGATGGTCTATTGTTTATCTCCCCTAGTTCACCCTTCCTCTGGCAGCACCCTGTTACAGGGAAACTTTATCAGTACATAACACTGACCATAGTTGCCAGAGGTTTGAATATCATTTACCATTCAGGGGTACAATGGTCAGTATTTCTTTACCACCTCCTTCCATTAATTGTCAGCTGCTGAAAGTCTCAAACTACAGTCTCTGGATAAAAGGCTCCAGGAAATCCTAGCACTTTCACTTGGAGGCAGCAAGCCTAGGCTAGCCAACTTCTTCTCTCTGGCAGAACTTCACTGACTGAAATATACTGGGCTTGAGACGCGTATAGTGATCAGCTCATAGTTTATGTGAATCAACTCAAACTAAGGACAACTGCAGCAAGGCCAGAGCCCTTCTTACAAGCCCATCAAACAGCACACCCCAAACACATACCCACTCCCAACAATGGGCCATTTACACATTAATTGCATCCCGATAGGTGGCCGACAGGATCCTGATGGTCTATTGTTTATCTCCCCGAGTTCACCCTTCCTCTGGCAGCACCGTGTTGCAGGGAAACTGTATCAGTACATAACACTGACCATAGTTGCCTGACAAGCAGTCATGCATCATGTGAAACTTTGTGGCATATCTGGCTGGGTACAGCTACATATTGACCAAGTTCCTCTCAACAGCTGGAAAAGGCAGGGGAAACGTGCCAATCCTGGCTAGCAGCAACTTAGACAGAGCTAAGCATTTTAACTAGCTACCTACAAGAATGCTGGTGAGAAACAGGAAAAGCTATTAAGAAAACCTAATCCACCACTGTTTCCCAGGAATTAGCTGATCCATAACTCAACGGACTCAGAGTGGGAGAAATCCAGTATGGCTTCTGTAGCCAGACAAGGTTCAGATAGGTCTGTTTAGGGTTCCCCAGCTATTGGAAGGAAAGAACTCTATAACTTTCCCTTCTGACTTCCCTTCCTCTCTCTGGCTCATATCTGTCTCACTATTGCCAATTTTGTTGGATTCAGTCCTGCAAGACATCATCCTTGTTCTGAAATACAGAAAACAACAACAAGGAATGATAACATATATTGTGGGGGGAAATCCAGCCCCAAATCACAATCTAAAAGCGGGCTGTTCTTTGTTGTTTGTCTAGAACAGTTTTGGAGTGGCAGGGGGAAAAAAGACAAGGGAAATTATATGAAACAAGCATCAGACCTGCAAGGACTTGCAGGGGACATCTCATTCCCCCCCCATTCCCTGTTTTCCTTCCTGGCAGTCCACCCCCATAGCTTTTCCCCTTTTGCTGTTTCATTTTCACCCTTCCATCCACCAACCAACTTATCTGCCCCCCTGCCTTTTTCCTTCACTTGCCCTGGCAACTTCTGTCTGAGAAATCTGTGGCCATGTTTCAC